CGGTTTTGGGGCCATCCCCTTGCCATAAATGGTTGTCCTCGCCTTCTTAATCCCTGAAGTTCATGGTTCTGGGCAGATTTTTGCATTTTAATACCGGCTGTTGATTGTCACTCATATATTGACCCTACTGGGGTGGTTTGGACCATTAGTTCCCATGGGTTTTGATGGCTCACGAGTTGACTGCCCTTCCAGCTCCAGCAGCGCGGTTTGATGACTCACCTGAGGCCTGCAGAACGTGGCCCGCGAGCTTCAGCGGCGTTTGGAGGAGGAGTGTGCCAAGGCGGATCGAACGAGAGAGAGAGAGAGAGAGAGGCGGAGGTCAAAACAGGTGTCTTCCATTTGCTGAAGCCTGTTGGTTTTTAAGGGAATCTATCACATCACTATACTGGAAATATGTGTTATTTTTTTCCGGGGGTCTTAACCAACCAACCAACCAACTAACCAACCATTCAATCGATCGATCGATCGATTAATGAATCTACGATTCAATCTACGATTCAATCTACGATTCAATCTACGATTCAATCGATTAGCTCAAACATTTAGCTTATGGACGCGACGCGACTTGGATGTTTGACCAAGTAGCTATGTGGTTAGCCTCCCACTAACCATATACCAACAGGCTTAATTCCACTGTGAGTCTTGTGAGTGGGATACAAGGTTGCCACCCACTTACTACCTTGGCCAAACACCCATAGGAAGGAGTCGACCCCTCTTGGATATGCCCCAAGGCCCTCTTTTTTGAAGGCCCGTGCAGTTGTGAGATCATCAGCCTTTGGCAGAGCACCCTTTTAATGCTCGGCTCAAGGGAAACCGGCAATCTGCGAGTGGGGATGCCCGTAAAATGGAGGGGGGAGTCTAAGCATTGTATTATCGGGGGTCCCTGCAAAGCACGGCTTAGGGGCCAGATCTGAAGATGTCATTTTAACGGACACAATATGGTTCTTGTTGTTGCCAGCTTTTCCAGCAGGTACATTCGGCTTGGGCATTAGATGCGCATGACGTCCATGTCTCAGCAACAAAAGGCGCACCTGCACACATAGGCAGATCTTGGCTTAGTTTCGTATCCCTGGATGTAGCATTGCGGCACGGGTGCCACGGCAGTGCCATGCCTGATGATGGCACTACGTACCAGGATGCCCTAAACGAGACTGGAGACCCTAATCACCCCACAAGAAGAGACCCTTCTTCTACATTGTCGATTGCAGGAACACGCAAACCAATAGAAACCATGCAACGAGGAATCAATAAGGTTTGCAAAGGGACTTGTATTGGTTATATCAAAGGAACGCTCCAAATCAATACAAACATACTGACTTCTCTTGGTTAGGATCAATAACCGATGCCCAGGGATACTTATAATGTCTCCCCGTCCACTGCTCAGTTCACACTTGCGCGCACTCGTTGGTGACATCACTTCGCGGAAAGTTTAAAGCTTATAACTTATAAATTAACAGTTTGCTATCTTGTTAACTATGTTTCAACCTGCTTATAGGCAGTTATAGCAGTACTTTTGCTGTGACTATAGTTATACTGTTGTGTATAATGTGCCCTCGCTTACTCGTCCGCCCACTCGCGAGTAGTCGTCTACTCGCACATGTACTCACGCGTCTACTGCATGCACCCGTGCTCCACCGGGCCTTGGAAGCATAGGGCTAGCATGTGCACTTGTAGGTCCAATCTCGCACTTCCACTCATACGTCGACTCGACCACACCCACGTCCACTCGTACGTCCACTCGTACATCTCAGCCTCGTCCACTCGTACATGCAAACATCCAAACACTACTCGTACGGATGTGTAATTGGGCCTTGAACAAACAGCTTTTTACGATGTTTAGAACCCAGCTAACGCGTCTTGTTGATGCGAAACCAACCCTAACCTTCAAACCAATCTTAAACCACCAAGTAGGAAGCTGAATCATTGATTTCCCCAGAAGCCAACTGGTCGTGGGTTGTCAAAACGCCCAGCCATTTTTTGCCCATGTGCAAACCCAAAAAAAACAGGCTACTCACTGCAAATGGGTGTGTCTTTTTTTGAGGGTACCCTTTGGGGTTAGTTTTAAGAGCAACCAAAAGGAAGACCACCCGTTTTGGTTGAGAAAATGACATACCCAAGTAAACTCCAGTCTGGCGACATCGCCCCCGCCCTGATGCAGGCCAATGTCCTGCAGAAAACCATTTCGAACGCCATCAGCGGCGACCTCGGCGAATTTGAATTGAAATCTCGGCCATGCCAAAGGAGCTGTGACAGGAGCTAAGCCCTTGCTTTTACCATGTTTGCAGGCAAGAGTGCACATCTGTTTTGCACGGGAAGCACGGAAGACGTGCGCAACAAAATCGCAGAAGTACGTGTGTGGTGGGTTATGTTCATTGCTATATGTAGACCCGCGGCTTGTTCCTAAGGTGCATGAAGAACTTGCAAACACCAAGTAGAACACGAGGGATATCCCGCAGATCTTGGCCTGGCCGGTGCGGCCGACAATACCAAGGCTGAACCCATTCGCTGGCACCTCCCTGAGGTGTTTTGGTGAAACTCAGTGCCTCCATTTTTTTTGGGTTGGGTTCCAAAAACAGTGAAACTCATTGGAAACAAACCTGGCTGGGGAGTCGGAAAAAAACAGGGCCCCTTCAGGGATCTGACATTTCCTGCACCTTGCCGGCTATGCTAGGCCAAAATGCGGCAAATGGCTTCCAGGCGCGAGTGGTAAATCTATCCTTTTGCAAATCCAGAGTAAGAAATATGCATATGTATACGTGAGTATATTCTAACGGTTGCGTGTCCAGCCTTCGTTGGTCAGACCCTGTGATGCTATCACATGCATTTTATGCTTGAGCCCTTGATTGAGAAGTTTGTAACCTTCGCGTGTGCTTGGTTTTGGTTCATAGTGGCAGACTGCAGCAAACAAAGTGGCTTTTCCTATGCCAATTGGTCACGGACATGGGCTTCCTTCCACAGACCTTCTTCTGGCTTAATGTTCTTGTTTGATGAATGCTGGCAAGATGTGGATGCGTCTGAGCTGGGCAGGGCTTAGACCCCTGCAAACAAATTATTTTGCGAATAGCAAAGCAAAAAGTAAGATCTTAGCCGCCTTAGCCTGGGGCATAAAAATGGAGCTCCTTTTTCCCCGAGCGCAAGCCCCATATGGCACGCGTGGGGGGCTGCAGAGGTCCCGTCTTGTCACACAAACGGCCGGATAGTTTGAGTTTGGTCAGGTCCGTTCCCGATAGCACCTATGTTTCCATAACTCACCCCTAATTCAATGGCCGTTTTTTTTTGGGGGTCACTATATTAAGTGGTTGCTTGGCCCGTTGTTTGGCCGTTTTTTTCGGGGACCCTTTGTCCACGTATACAAACACGCCCAGGGCAGACCAATGGCTCGGCTTTCAAACTGCTTGCCGCGCTGAAGCCGACCATCGGTGAGTGGTGCTGACGCCCGCGCCACGCAGCCGGGATCCGGCATCAGAACTTTTGACCTCGACGTGATCGCCATTTGATCTTCTTGAGCAACTCGAGCTATTTGGGCAAAAGCTATTTGTTTGAGCTAGTTGAGCTATTTGATCCTTTTTAGCTTCAATAAAGGCGCCGGAGATGAAGGAAAGCAGAACTGGAAGTAACCTTCACCATCTTCGGCACCGCCTTGTCCCGACGATGTCGAGCCATGACAGCGAGGCCCACCCGGACAGCGATCCGATCGCAGGGTACCCGTTGCTTGGTGTAGGAGAACAAAGGGGAAAACCGAAGCCAGTTTCGGGGGTCTACAAAGACTCAGTCGTTCAAAGCGAATCGACCTTTTGACCTTTTGGTTTTTCCCTTTTTGGTCTATTTTTAGTAGAGGTCCCAAAAGGTTAACCTTTTATTTACAGGTCCTTTGGGCAAGTGAGTAAACATTCCTCTAGGAAGAAAGTCTTTAGCAATTGAGAGGAAGGGATTGGATTGTCGACGACGTTTGCTTCCCATATTGTTCCATTGTTCCTTTCTGTGCGCAGGACGGATTGATTGAGGCATTTTGCCCCACCCAGCCACCCAGGTGGAGGGGTGTTTCAGGCAGAAAGCGTTTGGGGGACCCAAAAGCCTAGCTAACTGCAGCAAGAGGTTCTAGCTTCTGCTTCAGGAGGGAGTGTTGGTACTGGGTGCTTTGAAGTGAGCAAATTGGCATGTTCTCAGCGTTGCTTGTGTGGGTCGAAGTTGTCCAAAGCCGACCTTTTCGAGCCATGTTGGCCACGGTCTCTTCAAGTTCCCAAAAGGTTTCATTGCCTTTGATGTCCAGGTCATTTTGTGTGCAAGTGAGGAGTCGTGCAAAACCAGACAAGTCAAGCAGTTCGCCCTGCAGATGAACATGGACCCCCACAACCCGGAAATTCTAGGATCGGAGTCTCCTTTTTGGGGAACTTCCGTTTGGGTTTTCAAGGGAGCAAGAGCCAAGTCTGAACATCTTCCACTTCGATCTATCGCAGCCCGGGGAATTCGGATGCGTAGAGCCAATTGCGAGATCTGATGTTCGCACGGAGCTATGGGTATGTGTCCTATAGGGGGAGCCCCAAATCGTGGTGTTGCTTTTGGCTTCGCTGACACACAAACCTGAAAAGGGTGCCCTAAAACCAAAAAAAACAAACCCTTTGTTTAAAGAGCGTAAGGCTCCCCACAAAAGGGGCCAGCCAAAAAAACAACTTTTGGTCGGAAAGCTGAGGAAGAAACCAACCCTATCCTTATCCAGCAGATGGATTGCCTATTTAACGTTTGGCCTTTCTGGCAAATCGCTGAATGGTTTTTCTGGCTTTCCATCATTGTCCCTAGCCAAAGCCGGCAAAACGCCCCTTTTTGACCACTTCCATTTGCTTAAGAAACAAATATGTTCCCCTGTTGGTTTAAATGGAATCTATGACTATACTGGAAATATGTTTTTTATTTTTCCCATTGGGCTTAAGCAAATGTGAGACCAGAAACACGTCCCTTTAACGGGTACGCAGGACACAGCCGAGAGGGACCTGGCAGCTGCAATGGAGGACCCCGATTTGTCGCCGCTGCCTCAGGCCGAATGCTCATGGTTTGGGTAGCCGCAGCACAGAAATGGGTTGACAGTTGACTTATGTAGATTGAGTTGAGTTGATTCATGCAATGTGAGTTGAGTTTTCTTGTTGTTTCTTTGGTTGTGTTTGTATGAATGTGATTTATGCATTCTGTCTCTCAGCTCATGGCACCAGGGGTTCCCCAACAAGTGGAAGAGAGGGAGCTGATCTTCCGGGTAATGTCCAAAAGCCATGGCAACGTGAAAAGGCAAGGGTATGCCATTTCTTTGACCTGGTTGTATTAACATTACAACAAGATCAAAGACATGGCATACGGCATACCCTTCCCACGTTGCCGGTAATATGGCTCCTTTGATTTGTTATGATGCCTGAGATAGAAAGGCCACCGTTTTATAGCCGAAGGGGAGTCACTAGAAGAAGCACCGAAACAAGTTCCGGAAGATCAACGGCCCGCTGCCGACAAAACAAATTCCAACGGCTCTCGAACAGTTCGCCCTGATTAACAAGGGAGTACGAGCAAGAGCCAAGTCTGGCCAGATTTCGAAGCGGGAAAGGGGAGTTGGACCCGAACAAAGTGGTGTTGCTTTCGGCTTCCCTTACCAACCTGTAATTCCGCTGAATCCAAAAGCAATCCCGTAGGGAACCTGGAATCTCCTCATTTTGTTTGGTTCACCACAAGGAGACCAGAATCCAAAAACATAACCCTGAAATCTGGAATCTTCTTTTTTGGAGGGTCGGGATATTTGTTGACTTTCTGGTTGTCCATCATTTTCCCTAGCCAAAGCCACTTCCATTTGCTTAAGGAGAACATATTTCCCCCTGTTGGCTTTAAAGGGAATCTATGACTACTGGAAATATGTTTATTTTATTTTTCCACTGGGCTTAAGCAAATGGAAGACCAGAAACGCGTCCCTTTTTCAGGGTGAAGGGTCCGAGTCCCGGACGTAGGACACGGCCGAGAGGGACCTGGCAGCTGCAATGGAGGACCCCGATTTGTCGCCGCTGCCTCAGGCCGAATGCTCATGGTTTGGGTAGCCGCAGCACAGAAATGGGGTTGACAGTTGACTTATGTAGTTTGAGTTGAGTTGATTCATGCAATGTGAGTTGAGTTTTCTTGTTGTTTCTTTGGTTGTGTTTGTATGAATGTGATTTATGCATTCTGTCTCTCAGCTCATGGCACCAGTTCCCCAACAAGTGGAAGAGAGGGAGCTGATCTTCCGGGTAATGTCCAAAAGCCATGGCAACGTGAAAAGGCAAGGGTATGCCATTTCTTTGACCTGGTTGTATTAACATTACAACAAGATCAACGACATGGCATACGGCATACCCTTCCCACGTTGCCGGTAATATGGCTCCTTTGATTTGTTATGATGCCTGAGATAGAAAGGCCACCGTTTTATAGCCGAAGGGGAGTCACTAGAAGAAGCACCGAAACAAGTTCCGGAAGATCAACGGCCCGCTGCCGACAAAACAAATTCCAACGGCTCTCGAACAGTTCGCCCTGATTAACAAGGGAGTACGAGCAAGAGCCAAGTCTGGCCAGATTTCGAAGCGGGAAAGGGGAGTTGGACCCGAACAAAGTGGTGTTGCTTTCGGCTTCCCTTACCAACCTGTAATTCCGCTGAATCCAAAAGCAATCCCGTAGGGAACCTGGAATCTCCTCATTTTGTTTGGTTCACCACAAGGAGACCAGAATCCAAAAACATAACCCTGAAATCTGGAATCTTCTTTTTTGGAGGGTCGGGATATTTGTTGACTTTCTGGTTGTCCATCATTTTCCCTAGCCAAAGCCACTTCCATTTGCTTAGGGAGAACATATTTGCCCCTGCTGGCTTTAAAGGGAATCTATGACTACTGGAAATATGTTTATTTTATTTTTCCACTGGGCTTAAGCAAATGGAAGACCAGAAACGCGTCCCTTTTTCAGGGTGAAGGGTCCGAGTCCCGGACGTAGGACACGGCCGAGAGGGACCTGGCAGCTGCAATGGAGGACCCCGATTTGTCGCCGCTGCCTCAGGCCGAATGCTCATGGTTTGGGTAGCCGCAGCACAGAAATGGAGTTGACAGTTGACTTATGTAGACTGAGTTGAGTTGTTTTTTCTGTATTTACTTATTACTTGGGTTGTCATTGTACTAGTATGGCTTATGTATAACTTACTTAATATGGTTTAAAGTTGACTTGATGTGTGTAAATTGAGTTGAGTTGTTGAGTTGATTCATGTATCACCCTGTCTCCCACCTTGGCACCTGACGGGGGGTCCTTCGAGGAATCTGATCCAGGTACTCTCCCAAATGCCATGTTGGGAGGAAGGGACCCCCCTCACACAGCCGAAGGGGAGTCCACTAGCAAAACCACCCAGAGTGACCCACAATGACCAGAATTACTCGACTTGAGCTCGCCTCACAACCCACTGTTTAGGACCCTTTCTTGAGTTGATCTTATTGCACCCCAAGAACTTTGATGCATTGAATGTGTTCCGCCTTGGATTTCCCTTGGCATGCAAAGCTACGCACGTGCTTGAGGTTTTGGACTTCCATGTTCCAGCTGTTTGAGCGTCGTTGCCTGCAATCGAATGGTGACGGGGCAAGTTGGCTGTGGGGGAAAAAAGAAAACGCATGGACGGCGTTCCATAGAGGATACGTCCAACAACCACCTACTTTACAAGGTCCTCGAACTCCATTGCTCTTCCAGCAATTCTCGTTGCTGGCACAAATGCGCAGGGACCCTGGACTCTTGTTGCCGGCACACATGCGCACCATTGTATCTGTGGGACCCACTGGACCCCGGGAATTTCCGGAATTCTAGCTCAAGGCAATTCTCGTTGCGCTTGGACCACTGCATCTCTTCGCCCAAAACTGGACCACTGGACCCCGGAATTGGAATTCCATCGGGACCACTGCACCGACCACTGGACCACTGCATGGTTGTTGTTGGGAAACATTTTACATTTTTGCTTATAGTGGTTTAGTGGGGAATCCCCACTTCACTGCTAAAATTTAAATTGTTGATCCCCTTCCAACGTCAACCAAGACCGGACCCCGGCATTGCAATTTCGGGAGTTCGGGGAGGCAAGGGGACTACTACGGCCTTTGCGCACGCCTGCCTCTACACTGCTGGGCCTGCGAATGGATCTCCCCGAAGCCCAAGGCGAATCGGCGAATCGGCATCGAAGCCATGGCATCGGGGAGTCCCCTCCATGAATTTGATGTACCTTACTACAGGTTAACATGGAACCCCCCATGAAAAAAACAAACAAACACAACAACGTGTCATTCTTAGAGGAAGCGCTTCTCTTGGGCGACCCATTTTTTTAAATATATATTTTTGGGGGGTCATGTTAAGTTTTAGGGGAGAGTTCATTTTAGGGTGGAGGATCATGTTCCAGGGGGTGCTGGGGGAACGCGGTTTCATATTGTTGGGTTGGACGAATACGAAACAGCATCAGAGAGCATGATTTTCGGTGTATCCCAAAAAGCTGGCTTCATAGAGCTTTATGGGTATGGGCATGTGACGGTACCTGAGCCAAGCCCGTTGGGGGCTGATGTCGGACCCCTTCGGGGCCAGAATGCGCCAACAGTTTGGTTTAATTGCGCATGAAACCGGGTTTATAGCAGTGATTCATACATTCATCCCTTGACATGTGCCAGTCACAACAGGCTATGTATGTAAACAGTATGTATTGTAGCAACTTGCTTTTGGATCAAAGGGTAAAGCTGGTCAACCAACCAGAAGGGGGGTCCTTTTTGTGCCTTGCGGGTCACTGGTTGGCAACTGGCACTTAGAGCTCCTTCACCCTCGTATTCGAAATTTGTCAGGAAAGGGTTGTCCCCCCCTGGCATACGGTGTCTTACAATTGGGAACTGGCAAAATTGTGTCTGTTTGTTCTTTTTGTTTCCCTTTACAACCCAACCAAAAAAGGCTACCCTCAGAAAAACCAAGGCCATATGTTTGGCACGCGGACCCCATGTTCGATCCATTTACAAGACCCAGATTCCCCCCCCCCAAGCCCCAAGGTGCCGCTTTTTTACAGGGGCGATGGTGCTAAATTTTGACGACACTGACAAGCCCCAAGCTGCAGTGCTCCTTGGTTTTTTGTGGGGGAGGCTTGCCCTAAGGTCCCTTACCCAGATGTTTGGGTCGTTTCCTTGTTTCCTTTTGAAGGGGGGGCCCTTTAACTTGGTGATCCCCGTGGGTTTTTAGGTTTGGGTTTGGGGTTTCCATTTGGCTCACTAAAAGTTAGTCACTTTTAGCAGGGGATCTGAGAACAGCCCTGTTCTCGGTTGTTGTTGGCAAGCATTTTACATTTTTGCTTATTGTGGTTTAGTCGGAAATCCCCACTTGGCTGCTAAGATTTAAATTGTTGCTCCCCTTTCAACGTCAACCAAGTGTTGACATCAAGTACCAAACAAAGCGCGGCTTTTCCATCCATGGACACTGGAGGTATCGACGAGTGAGGGTTAGTAAATAGCCAGTCCCCTTGTAATCAAAACATGCGGCAAGAAGCAAGAAGCCATTGTTGATTCGCTGCATTCAATCTGTGGAAGACCCCATTGGAACTCAGGATCAATGAGCCCTAGTTTGTGAATGGGCGGTCCCATTTCACGGGGATTCCCCACTCCAAGATGACAGCCGCCGTCAAACTTTCGGGCTAGTTCTTGTTGTGGGCCCTAACGGGCCAGAACGTGCCTACAAACCATCCGTTTCCTGGATGAATGAAAATCAATTCCTACTCCTTGTAGTGCCTTTGTTGCTTCCCTTTCCCCAAGCAGGATGCATTGGGATTAAATGAGTAGGGAGCCCTCCATTTTGAACCGCCTAGAGGTTTCAGTTTGTCTTCCCAAGGTGCCTATGGAGTTGCCAGTTCTTACAGGTCTTGACAGGTTGTTGTTTTGCACCCAGTTGATTGTGACGCTGGTTGCCTTTGTATATGCAAGGCTATTTTGCTTTTGGGGGTTGGTTTGAAGGAAGCTAAACTTGGTGGCTCCCAGCCATCATCCGGTTCCTTAGCTTTTTGGCCTTTTAGTGTTTAGTGGGGATTTCCATTAAACCCACTAAAAGTTAAACTTTTAGCGAGGGATCTGAGGACAGCCCAGTAAAGGATTTGTGTTTTGTTTTCTTTCAAGACACCCGGTCGCTCTTCTCACCCAGGTGCTGCAAAACTGCTGCTTGATCCCGACCATCGGCCGCCGGTCTATGGCTAACTTGGGACGGGCATGGCGGACGAGCCCCAAGTTTCCCGCCAAAACGTGGGGAGGGGAGGGGGGGAAGCGCCCCATAGAATTGTCCAATGCTTTTGGGGAAGCCACAAAAATGTGACCATGGCTCACGTGGCTCGCATGGACTTGCCTGCATCTTTGCGTGCCTATGGCAAGGAGCAAAATATCACCGGGATTAGCCATCCGGTGGTAGGCTCACTTGTCCATTGGTGTGAAGCGAATGGACCTTTTGACCTTTTGAATTTTGTGTGGCCCCAAAAAGGTGGACTCTTTTTTTGTTCTTCGGGCAATTTTTAGACCCAAAAACGGCACCTTTTGGGCTCCAGACTGGGCCAATAAGTCACCCCTCCTTCGAAGTAGCAGGACTTTCCGGGGCCGCAGGACACCTCGAATGCAGCTCCAATGCAGGTTTTTTTGGGGATTGCTTTCTCAGGGCTCCTTAAAAGATACATTTTGCCCATTTGAAACATTGTTCTTTTTCACCAGAATAAAGGGAATCACCATTTACATTGCCTTTCTCGCACGCCTTAAGGCCTGCCTTGAGGTTCGCACGTTTCCCCACAATCGGACGAATGCGGGGTTTGGTACAGGGCGCACGGGTGCATGTTTCATATTGTTGGACCCGCCCTGTCCAGGCTGGCTTGTTTTGCGACATGTTGCGGTTACACATTGCTAGGGTTGGCGTTTGTGCAGACTTGCTGGACGGGTTTCCCACCTGCCCTTGCATTTTGCCCGGACGCATGCCTTTCCGTCTGCCTGAGTCGCAATTTCGGAAACCGTTTCCGGTTCACGGTCAAAAGCCGGAGGGGGGGGGAGGGGGACCTACGAAGAGGAGCTGCGACCCAGGTGGAATGGGCTTGATTGGGCGCCACTTGAATGACCTCGGCGCGGAGGTGATTGTCAGCATCGGCAGCAGCTTGACAGGGCCAGTGAGTCGAGCTTACACCTTGACAACAAAAATCGCCTTTGCCCTTTGGCCTTGCAAAATATCTTCTACAAAAAACGGTGTGCTTTGGGTTTAACATGTTTGCAAACATGGGTATGCAAGCGTATGTTCTATTTTGCTTTGCTGTTTTCAAGACTCATTTGTCTCAAAATCACGAGCCCCCTTTGGATGGTGGTTAAAACTCAGTTGTTCAAAGCCGACCTTTTGACCTTTTGGTTTTCCCTTTTTGGTCTATTTTCAGTCGTGGCAACCCAAAAGGTTAACCTTTTATTTACAGGTCCTTTGGGCAAGTGAGTAAAAGGAAACCATCAACCAGTTTTGGGGGTCCTTTCACTTTGCGACGCACCCACCTTGCTGCTTGCGAGATGTTTGGTGACAGGCGGCGCTGGCTTAGTGGAGTGGCTGCTCTCGGCTCGCTTCCAGGCCCGGCTGCTTTTTTTTTGTTTAATCTGCGGTTTCGGTTGTCCAGGGGAAGCTTCCCTCGAAAAGTGTGGCCATAGACCCCCAAGGGCTATGGGCCCAAGGGGGTCCTATGGCGGAGGGGGACGTAACTCCCTTATTAGGCCGCAGGGAAACACTGAATGCCTGATGTGCGTCACCCTCGTTTCCATTTGAGGTGCCTCAACCTAGCGAGATCGACCCGCTGTGCCACATAAGCAAGGAAGAACGGCTCCCCCACAACTCTTGGGCATCATTCAACCGCTGAACATGTCAACAGTGCCCAGCAACAGCTTATCCTGCCCCCCCCCCCATAGCTCTCCCTAGGGGTCCATGAGAGTATGTTTCCCATGCACCCACAAGAACCAGTTCAACCACAAATTAAGGAACACCTAAAAAGAGGGGATGACGGCATGTCTTCTGAAGGTACCCTCTGTGCGGTCCTTTAAAAGAGAACCAAAGGACAACCACCAATCCCCTGCCCCCCCCCCCATCCAGATTTCGGACCAATTCTGCTTCTTTGTTGTTGGCTTCCTTCAAAGAAGACTCTCTCTCTCTCTCTCTTTGCTTTCTTGCCCGTAAGTGATGCTTTTGGGCAATCTCAACATGTTGCCACTAGCCGTCCCAAAGCAACCCAGGATCCGATGTCCTTTGCGTTTCCTCCATCCCCCCACCCCTTTAACGGGAGAGCCGCCTCAAAAAGGTGACATACATAAAGAAACAAAACACCAACAATCCAGAAAGAAGGCCAGAACCCCACTTGTTGACGCTTTCTGACGTGCTTGCACTTGGGATGTGCAAGTGGACACTTTCCAACTTGGGTTGCCTGGGGTGAAAACTGCATCGCCAGAATTGAACAATATTCCCCCCCCCCCCCCGCCCCGGCCCGCAAAAAAGAAAAAGTGCTCCCAACGAAGGCCTCTTGAGGCTGAACATATTTGTTGTTTACAGAGCCCAAGAAGTTTAGTTAGAATGCCAGTTCCCAGCTGAGACGCTGAGTTCAGCGGCTTACCGGCCTGGAAGGCAACGTCCCACTAACGAGCTTTCCTGGACTGCTATTGGGTTGGATCGTTAGGCTTTAGCTTTTTGAGAAACCAAGGGGTTTTCATCGGTTTTCCATGAAGCCCGCAAAAAGTTGAACTTTTTGCAGAGGGGTCAGCAGCAACCAAGTTTCCTAACACGAGTCAAAAGCATGAGGCGAGTTTGCATGGCCCGAGAAAAGATGGGCCAACGGAGAGTGCAGACATTTGCTAGTTGAAGGAGGGGCCCGCAAAATTGTATCTCCCCCCATCAGCTACACATCTTGGCAGCAAGTCGGCTCAGTGTGCCTTCACCGTGCAGGTGCGTACTACACCCAACCGCTTGTGGAAAATCGGGCATTTCCAAAAGTTTGTTGTATTACTCGCCTGCAGACGAAAATCAAATCAGAAAGGGTCCTCAAAAGCTTGGTGGTTCCCAGCCATCCCCTTAGGTGTTTAGGTTTGGGTTTCGTGGGGGTTTCCATTTAACCCACGAACAGTTGTCAATTTGTAGCAGGGGATCTGAAAACGGACAGCCCAGTTGACCTTGGTTGTTAGGGTTCCAAACTGGGAACTGTCCTGACGACTTCCTCAGATGACACCCAAAGCGAGGTGATTTGTGTGGACTACTTCTACGGCCTATCTGCTGAAGGCTCCAGAGTGGCGTTATCAGATCGCCGTCGCAGAAACCAAGATCGGAGGATTCCCCCACGTGCCTTGTTGCTTAGTTTCTTGGTAAGTGCGCCGTGCCTCAAGAAATTATCCGAGGTATCCTTGCGAGTTCAACTGACCAAGCCAAATAAATAACCTACCTGCCGCCTGAAGGCCCTTTTGCAAGGAAACCTGGTCAGCTCAGAGGTTCATGCACTCCAATTTGCCTAAACCCCCTTGAGTCCTCCTGCCAATTCACAGGGGCAATGGTTTCTAGCTATACAACTTGCAGCTTCTTCAATGAAGCTAAAGCAAGCCTATATGGCTTTGTTTTTTTTTGGGGTACCCCCTTTCCTTTTGGCTTCCCTTTAAAACCATCCTGAAAAACGGGAACCCTCCAAAAACGACACACGCAATAGATCAATCCTGTGTTGCGTTCTGCCAGGGTCTTCGGAGAAATGCACCCTGTTTTGGGGCTGGTTGAGAAGGGCAGCATTCTGGAAATCACAAGAATATGGGGGAGTCCCCTCAATTTTTGACTGATATACACATCTAGCTCGAGACATACTCAAATGGACCCATCTTCTTTGGGAACCGATGCAGCTGGTAAAGGTTGCAAAGACTCCTTACACTTTTTTGTGTGCAACTTGTGCAGCAAACTTCCACCATCCCCAGCCCAAGCCGAAACTACGGGGGCGGCGACAGGCCATGCTTAAATTTCCCGGTGGGATTGTTGTTGGCTGACCCCATATTGGCAATCGCCGCAAGTCGTCAAAAAACCGGCAATGTTTTCACCAAAAGCCATGCCGTGCAGGCTTCGTGCATTTCGTCATGGACCATTTATCCTTGCCGAGCCAGACTTGTAAGCTTTTGCGTTGCTGGTGTTCCTTTCCTCTTTCACCCGCAAGAAGTTGCACCTTTAGCAGGCGGTGCACTCGTTTGGCCGACTTACCTCTTTAGACCTCCTCCCCGGACCCTGTCTCTCTATGACTCGATAACGGGGAGGTCCCTTTGAAAGCTTACTTGAACATGACCTGGCAAAGTACAGCTTATTTGTTCACCTTCTTGAATCATTTGCTCAGCATCCGAAAGGAACCCATCTGCTGGAATCCATTTCGGATCACCCGAGGTATGGTTCTACACCCACCCGCCCCAGATTTTCCTTGAGCCGGGCAACGCGGCAACACCAGCTTGTTTGAGGGTCAAAGCGGGGGGTGAGATCCGAAGCCGGCCAACGCCCTCTTTTTGGGTCCAAGCTGGGGTGAACTCGGGCCTGAAGCATCCTGAAGCCGGGCAACCCCCTCTTTTTGGAGCCGCAAAACGGGGTGAGAGGCCCATGCGTCTCGGGGTAAGAGACCTCCGTTCCACGGGTTGCCACAGGCGCGGTGGATCCCTGGGTGCTGCCGCAGCTGCACCGCGCCCTGCGGCGCGAAGCGGAAGCTCCGGCGCTGCGCTTTGCGGCCCGGAGAGGAGTCGGTCGGCGGGGCCGAGTGGCGGGGGGGGCGGGGGGGGCGGGGGCGGGAGGGGTGGGGGGTGGGGGATTTCCATTTTGGGGGGTGTCATGGGGGTCAACAAAACTCACTTCCTATCAGAAGTCACCAAACACTTTGTTTGGCAAACTCACCTTTCCAACAAGTGACTCGAACAACCCCCCCCCCCACATATTTGGGCCAAAAAACGGGGGGTACCCATAAAGCAGCAAACGATGGCACATGTTAAGTGAGGACCAAACGCGGGATGAGCGATACTTCAATCAAGATATACTTCATTCGTCCACTGGATTTGCAAGGGAACCCCTTTGAAAGTGATAAAGTAGTCTTCTGGGGCTGCCCACAGTTATCACGTGAGCAGTGACTGGCATGCCAGAGTTGGTCACAATGGGCTGTACCATGATGCTCTTGATTGAAATGCGACGAGCGGGGACGACCTAGGGCCAGCAGGGCTTGCACCTACCTCCCTGCATAGCCGCTGCCATTGCGGCATGCCCCCCCTGAATCTGGACATGGTGCAATGGCCCCCCCACCCCCGCCCCCCGCGACGCACGCACGCACTCACCCTCTTGCAGTCAAATTGCTTGGCGTCGCGGGGACTGGGGCTTTGAAGGCAGAGATTTTGGGTGACGAATATTCCGTAGTGGGAACATGGAGAAGGGATGTTTCCTGTCGAGCTTTAGGAAAGCCTCGCGCGATGGGGCTTCGTGGAGAGTCAATAGTCTTAGTCTTGTGCTGCTGGTAAGCGCTTGGGGCTACACTCCTGAAACACTTAGACAAGCTTCTGTTTTGGGAGTTTCTTTTCTGCTCAGGTGAGGCCGGACGACGATGCTTGGCAACTGAAGTAATCGGTGGCTCGGTGGGACTTGCGTTGTGCATGGCATGCTCACGGCACGCGTTTTTTTTTCGGGGTGTTTATCATATTGAGACGTCAACCGAATTGTGCTGCTCTTTCTTGCTTCCAACAATGAGGTTGCATCCCGCTTTTGAAGTGCTCCAGCTGATTTTTGGGGGGCTTTGATTCACACGGTGCCCATCAACCAAAGAGCTGCCCATGCTTTTGAAGGACTCTTCACTCCCTGAGTTGCTGGACGTTATATTTGTGTTGGGCTTGGGCAAAGAGTTGTGACTTGCTGGCAAGCCACGGGCACTGCGTGTACCCTGTCCAAGTGGAACTTTGCTTCCTTCTGATCCCTTTTCTCATGGTGAAGGGCTGCGTTTCTTCCAAGGTTCTCACCCGAACTCAAAGTTGATGGCGGATTCCGCAGCTTTTCAGGGGCATTATTCTTTTTTGTCCCGCATTTTGCGCGTTTTTTGGGGTTCCCCTTTTTTCCAAAACTTAGGGAGGTAAGCAGAAGGGGGGGCGAGCCCCCCGCCCCCAAGCCCAGGCCAGTGGTTTGCAGGCTGCGGTGGGCGCATCCTCCGCAACGCTGCTTTGCAGCTGGCCACAGCTCCTGGGTGAAGCGCTGGGTGAGCCCATGGTAATAAAAAACCTAGGTCCCCCAGTGCCCTTTCTCACCCCTTCCTTGGTTGGGAGGGTTCCCCTACTAAAATAGACTACAGAAAAACAAGGGTACCCTTATTCTAACCTCTCTACTGGAGGACCTAGTAGTCGAGCTACAGACATGGCCATGAATTTTAACAGGGAACCACCTCATTTGTGGTTGGTGGATATGAATCCCCACCTAAACGATGTCCACCAAAGGGTCCCCAGTTCAAATATATATATATATATATGTGTGTGTGTGCACGTTTGAGGTATCCATTTGGAAGGTATTATGCATGCATGTGGATGTGTCTTTTGGGAGGCGCGGTAACCTCCATAGAAGCTGGCGCCTTCTGGAAGAGTGAACTGTCCTCAAGGGATCTTCGAACGGGTCCCATGGCAACGCGGTCGGAGGGGGCGGGCTTGGGGGGGGGGGCCTTTGGGGGAAGGCTTTGGGGGGGGGGTTGCTTTCCCATGCCATTCAACCAATGACCTCCCGGAAATTTGAAGCCTCCGTTGACTGACAAAGTCATAACAGCCTACCTTGGTATCATAAGGTTGTTTTCCACAAACTTGGTTCAACAACCAAAATTGGTCCAATTTGCTTTCCTTTCAACAAATGAAATGGACTCCGGCCCCCAAGGGAAAGCGGCTGCTATGTGGTTGGAGCTTTAGACTTTAATCTTCTGGAACATAATTGCGTCCCTACTCAGCAGCGAAATGCTTTCACAACATGATGGCTTAAGCCATGGTTTACAAAGCTGAATTCCTCGATTTTGGTTCAATCATCCCCTTTGGCTTGCCCACATCTATCGGGAGATTTGTGGCGTCTACTTATTTGCACGGTTGCCCCAAAGTCGATCGGCACAAGGGTAGACAGTTTGTCTACGTAAGTCCCCGGTTGCATCGCGAGACGTTGCTTACTCTTCTTTTTTTTTGCCAGGTGCCCTTACCAGCACAAAGAAGAACCGATGCAGTCGAAGCCTGGCTCAGGTTGAAGCTAAAATGTTTTTCAGGTGGAGGTTTATGGTCAATATTCCTGGCCCCAAAATGACTCTGCAGAACTTTTCCCAGGTGATTGTGTCATATCTTTGTGGGTAAGGCAGGGTCACCCCATGTTTACCGGATCTTTGGATCAACCCCCATTTGTGGTTTGGATTTGTGGTTTCCCCCCCCCCCCCCCCGCAAATCCGAGCCAAACGGTTTTTTAATGCGAGTCACTGAGAGTCTATTGTTGGTTTGGGGTGGCCATAACGGACAAGTCATTAGGTTGGAGAGGGGCCTCTGAGACTCTGGGGAAACCACTATTGACCTGGTTTTCACCAATTTAGAGTAGCCTGATAATTCTGAAGCGACTTGAGCCACAATCAAAACCCGGATAGATGAAGGTTAGTAAGGGACAATCCCAACCATAGCTGCGGCCGCCTTCTCAATTTTCTTTCCCTGGTTCAAGCATAGGTGTCCTTTTTGGTGGCTTTGCTCGAAAAATCCATGGCGATGCCTGGTTTACCTGGTGGTTTACCTGGTGGTTCAATCCTGTTTTTTTTGTTTTTTCCGCAAGTGGCTCACTCGCTGAGGCTCGCTCCGGCGCAGCTGCGGGCCTATGCGGACCTGGATCTCCGGGGCTTGGTGCTGGTGCTGGGGGAGAACTGCCCAGGGGCCCAGGGGCGCAGGATAAAACGCGGTTGCCCAGTCCTCAAAAGATCTCCATGTTTGAAACATGTTGCAACTAGTCCACCAGAAGAAAGTTGGAAACCACCAAATAGACAAGTTGCAATGTTCAGGTGTAGAATGTAAGGATCCCTGTTGCAGTTCTCATTCCCTGAGCTCGTGGACTTGAAACTTTTTGGAAAGACCGTTTTAGAGGTAAATCAAACCAATCAATTGGTCAGACTTTGCTGGGCCAGTCTACTCAAGCAAGTTAAAGTTGCAGCTTGGGGTTCTCAATGTATATGTTGGGGGATCATATGTTATCTTTGGGATCCTAAATTATTTGGCATCTTTTTGAGGGGGAATCCTGTGAAACCTTCGTTTTAGCGTTTTTGAACCCAACAAGCCCTCGAATTGAGATAGTACAGCCTTTGGGGTTGTTCCGCCAAATGAACCTTATTATGCTTTAGCACGGCCTGAGCATTTTGAGGCATGAGTTTCGGAATTCTGGAGTTTTTTTTTTTTCCCCCGCCAATATGTTTGCATGTGAGGCAGTACCCCTTGTGGTGGCATCAAAACCTCCATACCCCCCCAAAAAGAAAGAGAACTCCATACCCGCCCCCCCAAACAAAAGCAAAGAAACGAGAACAAGACCACGGCTGTAGCCCTCCCCCCGCCATCGCCTGCAGCTCTTTTCGAGGCCACCCCGCGCCGGCGGAGGCCGCGCGCGCGGTGAGGTGTGAGGAGCCGGGAGCGGGAGAAGACGTGCCTCGGCTTTTGGCCGAGAGAAGCGGTTTGGGGTGTCTCTTTTTTTAGGGAACCGCCCCCCCAAAAAACAAAACAAGTAGCCCCCCCCCCACAAAAAGAGACAAATAAGAATATACAATCATAATAGTAATGGCGGCTTTTGCTTTTAACGTCCCTTCAAAACCACCAACAAATACGGTTTGGCGTGCTTGCTATTGGGGAACGGGTATTTAGACTGTTTACGTTTTTTATTCTTATTGAAATCGAGGGTTTTCCGAATTGAACCCACAAAAGTTGCTTCTGTTTTGCAAATGGGTCAACATCAACCAAGTTGGGTGTGTCTTTTTTAGGGAGCCCCTTTAGGGTCCCCAATCAGAAGACCTACCCTTATCAGGTGGTTCTCAAGTTGCTTTCGGGGCGGCTCCTATCATTCAGACGCCGTTATGCGCATAGCCTGTTGTACTTGTTGCAGCATGTGGCATGTGTGGCAAACTCAGGGGTAAAACTAGTTGAACCATGAAGGTCATTCCCTTTCCCAGTTAGCATGGCCATGAGTTCCTTTCTGGAACTTAGCCCGAAGCCAATGCCATGGCACATTTCAGTCGATCTGAAGTGGTTGGAGCCCCAAAACAGCTGGGCCGGCCCCAGGTTTCGCGGAGGGGTCCCAACGTGTCAAACTCCGCTTGCCTTCTTAGCTTTGCTACACCGTACCCAGTGCCCGAATGTGTGAACAAGACATTATGCATCTCTGTATAAATGCCTACATGTATATTCAGACCATTGCACTATAAATA